ATGTTTAAATATATGTATGTATATATACATATGCATATCGGCTTATCTAGAATCGTCGTCATCATCGTCGTATTTCACAAACATCGATGCAAAATAAATCACAATCGTATTTCTTTCTCTCAGTTTATCCTCCAATTGGCAACTGTGCTCCTGCTTCGCTAACGTAATATTATATATTTGCATATATCCTCTCTCTTTTGTCTTTTTCAAGTTAATAGATAGTTAGAAATCCTTCCTGATATTTTTCGCACCATTTTATTCTTAACAATTTAAATTTATCGATATAAATTTCCATATGCGATACGGCAAAAGCAATCGCCTCGTTTATCAAATATCTAAAAAAATTCCGCTTTTCTCTTCTTAAAAGTTAAAATATTTAGCGTAAAAATATAACACGAGAATGTCATAAATCAATGATGAACAAAATAATACATTACCAAATTGTTCGAAAAAGAAAGAATTTAAATATAATAGAAGAGATTCTTTATATTCGTAGAACTGAGGCGATTACTTTCACGTCATCTCGTACATTCCTAGCGCCACAACATGGAAGATCGCGGTTCGCAGAGGATAAGAAAATTCTGGAGGATTCTCTTGACAAAAATACGAAAGGAGCTTCGGTATTAAGATCTCTATCTTACAGTCTCGCTCTAGAGAGTACCCAGCCTTGCGCCTTTTGGTTTAATTCGCGTCTTATCAATAGTGTACGCGGAGCGCTCGTCATTGGAGTAAGTAAAGACGCTTATATATTATTATTATTATTATTATTACTATTATTATTATTACTATTATTATTACTACTACTACTATTATCTTTATATTATTATTTATGTATATGTGTGAGTGAACGATCGTCGTACAGAGTCGTTATGGAATGTGCCAGGAAGGAAGTCATTCTCTTTGATAAGTCAAGACTTCGGCAAGTCGATGTTCACTTTTTCGGTGTGCGCATATTTCCGCCGACAGTTTGAATGCCTTGTAACCATTATTGATCGGAATTATATCTCGTTTATAAATATCAGAATCACGCGTAGAAATTTAATAATTAAATAGTCGAACATCTTTTTATTTAATATCTTTTTATATTCGTTTACTTCGAAAGTTTATACAAATTTATAGATATTTAATGGATGATTTTATACATGATTAATGATAACATATTATAAAATAATATATATGTGCGTATATGTATTGTGTATATATATATTAATATATCTGAATGTAATCTTTCTGAGAAGGCCATAAAAGCCAGAAATATGCGGAAGATATTTAATATAAAGCACGCTTTTTCAAAGAGATTATAAACGTGACATTCAATTTGTCGGCTGCTGTTTTCAGAATTTTTTTATCGTTCCAGGACTTTGCAACCTGGATATCTGAATTATATTATTAACTAATGTGTGAGCTTAATATTATATTCCTTTGTGAGCTCACGAGTGCTCCGTTCGTTGCACTCAATATTTGAATTGCGATTCGGCTAAGCTACCCTCATGATTAAATTGGCCACAATTAGCGTGTCTTCGAAAATGTCCTAAGGTTAAACTAAACGGTATTGATTTGTCGACTGATTGACTGATTAATTTCACTAGTTGATTTCTGAGACAAAAAAATGACATGACTGTCTGATGTTTTGCCATGACTGCATGATGTTTTGCCATGACTGACAATCTCATGAAATCATCAAAGAATTATTTTTCAAAAATTTAATACATTTTCAACTAATATTACAAATAATATTATTAGTTAAAAATTACAAATGATATTATTTCTTTCCATAGAATAAATGTCTCAATATGAGAAATTAATAAGGCGACAAAATTTGATGTCAATATTATTTTCTTTTTTCTTATATTGATAACGCGATGAAAGGAGCAAACAATTATTTCAATTAAATATATTGTCTTTGTTTGTCGACGAACGATAATAAATTAAGATCCTACCTTGCGACGTATTCTCCATGACAAATAATCTCTGTAAAGAGGATCTCTCATGCAAAGTTATGTTTTTATGATTTAGAACTTATTTTGATTTAGTCCTGAAAATTCGGAATAGACAACATTTAAAATACATGAATATTTTGCAGTCCCTCGGAAGTGAGATATCAGTCATGGAGATACGAAACGAGAAACGAAACAAATCGACTCGTTACAGCGCCAGGAAACATTAGGATGGCATTCGAGCATCAAAACGAGTTAATCATCAGCCGTTTCCCTAGGAGGCAGTGACGGCGGTAGATGATAGAGAGTTGGGTCACGCCAGATTGCTCTCCTGTTCGCCCCAACCTTCGCTGTCGCATTCGCTTTCCGATGCCGAGTCACTGTCGCTGAACTCAACGGCAACACGACGTGCCAAAATGGATGCGACATCATTAAGTGCGTTTACGCGCTCCACTTCTTTTTGCTCGATCTTTTCTACTTTACGCAGCTTTATACCTGAAAAACGATCGCTTTGAGTAAAGTAGTATTGCTTTTTAAGTAATGACTTAACATAAAGATATTCGATTTTTTAAAAGCATTTTTTTATTTCTTTTTGATTTAATTAAAAATTATAAAGTACGAATGTAATTTACCGTCACGAATCGCCTTGAGTAAGTCGTTTCGTGGATCGACCAGTGGAATATTCGGATTGACAGGCTTCCTTAACTGGCCGTCTACAATGCTCTTCAAGGGCTTCAACTTCGGCGGATTGGTTGCGATCATCTTTGCGATGTCGCCGTTCGTTAATGGCAACGGCGCTGTGGGTCCGTTGGCGACTGGTGGAGGGAGCGGTGGCGGTGGAGGTGGTGGGATGTTGCATGGAGGTGAAATAGGTCTCGGTGGAGTAGGATCTGGGGTGGGCGGGGGTGGTGGAAGGTCTTGAGGTGCTGGATCTGTTTCGTCCGCGCCCAACTGGCCTGAATGATTTGGCGGTGTCGGCGTCGAACGTTGGCTTGGCAAAGGACTGTCCGACCGACTTCCACTTCTATTTAGTAGATGCGGCGGTATGGAACCTAAAGCAACGGTCGTGCAAAATAAATGTTATATGTTTTCGCCTTTTAGAAATACTTCGCCTTTTAAAAATCTTAATTAATAATTATTAATCTCGAATAGGATAAGATAAAAATAATAATTAACATAAGTAACGTACCATTCATGGAAGGAGGAGACATAGTTTCTCCTGGTGGCGGGGGTGGCGGTGGCAGAGTGTCCCTGCCGGTGCTCATGGATCTTCCCCTAGTGGGAGTATTGTTGGCAGATGCCACCGTGGGCGTGGAGTTGCTGGAAGCATTACTCGGCGGTGCCGGTGGTGGCTGCGATGGCCGTGACCTACCGCCTCGACTCGGAGTGCTCTGACCGCCAGGGCTTTGATACGTTTCGCTGCCGACTGGTGCCTGACCCGAGGCATAGTACGGATTTTCATCATATCCTTGAGTCATATAGTTTGTTGTCCTATAACAAAAATAAATTGAAGACAATTTGCGGATTAATAATATATTAGTACTTAAGTATCATCTATTATTTTAGAATTATTAGTTACGGATTCATTATTAGATACATTGTCACGATATTCCCACCTGTAATGATCGGAAGACGGCGGGCTATAAAGATTCTGCTCTTCTGAAGGGTAGCTTCTTCGCAGTTCGATGCTGTTGGGCCTGGGTGGCCTGGGATCCGTCATCATTCCTAGTAGAGCATCATCAGGCTGCACATTGTGCGGCGCTCTATACTGTACCGCTTGTGTCGGCATGATATATTCGCCATGGCCAACGGCCAATTGCCGTTGCCGTTCCCTCGTGTTGTGCGGCTGCCTTACGCGCTTCTTGTGTCTGCCTCCACCTCCGCCGCCACCCTCATTCCGAGGCCTGTGCGGCTGTTTCGCGAAGAATAAAGAAATTTAGAATGTGTAACACAAAATAAGCAACGATCAAGGTGCATCGCATGTAAGTCAAGCACAATCGATTTAAATCAAGAAGGTCCCGACGATTGATCCAGCGACAAAGTCATTTCAGTAAATTTTTTACAGAATTATAATTGAAGAAAAAGGATACTATTTTAAAATTATTCAAAGACATTACCGTCGTTTCTGAAAATTAAAATTTACTGGATCAATAGTTAAATAGGAATATGCGTAAAAATTAAAATTTACTGGATCAATAGTTAAATAGGAATATGCGTAGAAAATAAAAGAGCGAAGTTTGAAAAATGATAATTATATTTTTCGAATCTTGCAAAAGTTATTGCCATAAGAAAAAAAAACAGCTTATTCTTCACGGCGACTATTTTATTTTCTACGCGACAAACATGGCAAAATGGAGATGAGATAATCCTGAAATGGACGATGAGACGATCAAAATCATGGGAATACTGATGTCGATCGATGATGAGTCGGTGAATGATGAATATAACGTAGTTCTATAAAGTACATTCAAAACTTGCATGTACATGAAAATTGCAGAGAACGGCATTACATAAGTGATCCACAAAGTGATGGTGAGTGGGAAAAACTTGTTTCGAGTATCAAAGAACACAACTCAGTTTACGGAAGGAATGGGAAGGGCTCCGAGTCAAAATCAGGCCCTGCGTAGATGGAACTTTTGTCCATCCTTCTCGATCTTATCAAGAAGGTCGACAAACTTGAAACTTCGATGAGAAAGTCTATTCGTATTCGATCTACGCAAAGTGATATCCGGCCACTGAGAAAACGTGGCTATTAGCACAACTACATAACTTCGAAAAAGCGAGCATCTAACGTCAGTCTCTATATCAGCGCGCAAAAAGGTCGGTTAATGAAAGAAAAACCACAGAGAGAGTGATTATGCAATGAGAGTGAAGTGGCTGGTGGCGTTCAATCGATTCACTGATTGAGATACTATTAGATGTTTTGTAAAAGGGATAAGAGAGATTAAAAAGAAACTACAAAGAGATCCAAACCATCGACTTGCCTCTCTGAACGGTTCGGCATATTCAGACTCGCTCTATAACGAAGGGGATAGTAATTCAGTAGTTAGAATCGCAATATTAGACACGTTTAAGTAATCATAAAAAAATTATATCTATATGAATTCACGCATCTCGATAACTTTGAAAATCAGAGAATTACATTGATCAAATTACAATTTGACTAATTTATAATCAATTAAATCGATTAAGATTCAGAATACTATGATACAAATGTTATAAATAGTGCAATAGTTATCGAGGTGCGTCTTTGAATATATTATCGCGTAAAGATTTCTACCTTCTTCCCTCGATCGTGTAGTTTCTTCTCTGTGTCTTTGAGCATTTCCTGACTCCACAGATCGAAAAAGTAATTCGGGTCAGTATAAAACTTTAAACCATCCTTGCCATCCTCCCTGAAATCGAGGCAATAATTAATATTTCAATCATTTTCCAAATTGAACTATTTGAAATTTATAAACACCATTAATTACCTATAAATATTAAGCTTATCCAAGGGTGGTGGCGTGTCGCATTGGTGATACGTTTCCAGCATCGCCGTTGGCATGGTGTCTCTAGAGACAACTTGTTGGTCGAATACCACAGAGCTCTTGAAGGCTTTCCTCATGTGTATATCTTGCAACGAGACTGCGCAGAAAATGAGAAGATATTTATCTAAATCTTTATAAATTATAATCCTTTTCTTTTCTTTTATTTTTCTTGATTTGTAAACTACTTTGGTTAACTTGTAAATTAAAATACAAGCGTACCTTCTTCAACGTTACTATCCAACTGGGTGACCTTGACGGCTAAACGATCTATTCTAGCCTGTAGGGAATTTGCTCGATCGCTCAATCCATGCGCTTCCCTCGCTAGCTCGCCGAATAGATCTTCGGCATGCCTCGATAGACTGGACAGTTGCCTGATAGTATTGGCCAGGGTGCCATTAGTGGCTGCCTCAAGTTCCGATGGCAGCGGGAAGTCCTCAGGAATGGTGCCGCGTGCCACATGCACGGGCTCCACCAATCGCTTCGGAAGCGGCATCTTCGGCTCGCCGGCTGCTTGTTCCTCCTAGCTTCTTTTTACGGTAACTTACTCACCGTTCTCTCGAGACCTGAAATCAACCATCCAGGACCATCATGAAAAAAAATCACTAAATCAAAATGTATTTGATAAAAATTATACATCGCTTAAAAGTTGCAATTTTGTCATGAAACGTATTTCAAAAGATATTAATAATAATAACGTTAAAACACAATATTTCTAAAAATACAGTTACAATATTTTTAATAGTATATCATCTCAATCACTAATCACTAATCTAGTATCGATTTTTCAAAATAATTAAACAAACTTCTCTTAACAATATATCATAGTAATCAATATATTAATTTATTAATTCATAATAACATTGTTTCAAATATACGTTTGTGTATCAGAAAGTTCTTTTCGCTAGATCTGAAATATTTGAGGCGTGATGTCTCGAATAATTAGTGAGGAATGCTCGATGAGCGTAAAGTCATACATTAAAACTATCTCTTTCCGAGGGGAGGCCCGCTAACGAGATGAATATTTGATCCATTCAGGAACATCCCTTTGATCCAGTTCTTACTACTCGGTAGTGTGCAAATAGTAAGAGGCTCGAGAGAGAGAGAGAGAGCGAAATAAATCAGGAGAATTGGATGAATCTCAGATCTCTTCAGTTGTGACTATATTAAAAATTTAATTCGAAACATCTTGTCGACTGTTATCATTTTATTTCTCTTATCTCCGCTAGCTCATCATATTTTCCTATGATTTTCGCAACTGCCACGCAACTGCGACGAATACTCGCGTACACACGCAACAAAACACACGTGTTACGCAATCGCAGACCGTCAGTGATAACGATAATATCTTATCGCGCACTGGCTGCCATTAGAGCAAGGTGGCTATATCGGTCGCCATAATTTTCCGGTTCACGCCACAACCTGTGAATAATACAAACGATTTTTATCAACACGCAGCATAGCGCTGTCAATGAGCAGAGAGTCGGCAATCATTTTCTTTATCTTTAGCAAATTACACCGCCGTAAGTGTTAGTCCACAATAAGTATTTAATCTTCAAGCCGTAAGAAATTGACCAATCATAGTCGATTATTCTTTTCATATTCGATTATAATTGGTCAATTTCTTACTTCTTAAAGTTTAAGTCACCTATTGTGGACCGACACTTACATATCTTAGTCTTTTTTCGTATAACAATAATCATAAATATCACAATCGCTCGTAACCTCGGTTAGAATAATAATCCGTTATTTAAAAATATATAAACCATTCGTAAAATTTGATATTGTATTAATAAATGTCACAGTAGCCAATATCAAAACTTTTAATTTATTGCACGGTTGATCCCCAAGTAAACTTCATAGGGCAACTCAATCGACCATATGGGCACGACATGGTGAGTCATCACAGTCACTATAGTCTTTAGCCCTTGTCACGCCGGTATATCTGTATTTTATTAAGCTCCCACGCAATCGAACAGTCAACAGTCGAACTCAAACCAGGTAGAGCGAGATTAATAATACACTACGACTAATTTCGCCGTTGAATCGAGAGAAGACATAATAAAATTGCATAACGAATTATTACACACGAATACTAACATAATATTTCACGAAAAAAATGATAACTATTACCAAATGATATAAAAATACAAGATTAATTCATTATTCATAATTAATTCATTATAACTACATACGAACAATTTAATTAAATTTATCGCTAAATTTAAAAAATAATTAACACGCACGCACGCACGCACGCACGCACGCACGCACGCACACAAAATAAATTAATTGCAATCAAAATAACGTTAAAGATTGAATGAATTTATTTATTTCGATGGCACATCGATATTTCTGGAAATACTAATTTCCAAGTCGATTCACTATCCAGCATGGATTTAAATGCTTTCTGCTGCTAATCAATGCAAGTCAATGCTTGTGGCCTATTAAACTTAAGCGTTCGTGCTAACAGGAATCGGGTGCGGTGAGTTTCTCGCGTGTGTTTCGTCGTGAATGAAACCGCAGACACGCTGCCGCATGTTGCAGACTTGCATAAGGTAGGTAGTATCCTGAGACTGAAAGGTCACTACTACGCCGTAAGTACGACTTACGAGTACTCGCTGTGTACTGCTACTGTTACTACTACTACTACTATTACTACTATTACTACCACATGACGAGTGAAAACCGGAAAGACCTACTCATTCCTTGTCCGTCGATCGTCGTTCGCGTTGCACTTATTTCAAAGCTGCATTCAATCGCAACTACATCTGCAGCGACTTTAATAAACCGTCGCTCCAAGTCGAATAAGTAAATAATTAAAAAATAATAAATAATAGATAATAAATTCCACATGAATTCGGAACCTTTCATCAATGGATATACAAAACATCAAAAAAATTCCTTTATCGAAAATTTTTTCCTTCATATTTTTCCTCTCTAAAAACTTGTACGAAAAGAAAGTAATTTCTTGGCTTCGCTTAGGAAAATTAGATGTAACTTTTGAAGTCACTATAGTCTTGCGAATCCTTACAATTTGATACGGACATGCCTATAATGACAAGAAGCTGTCGAAATAAATAAATTCTCTTGCTTCACAATAAAATGCCGAACTGCTCAATCTGTTTTATATTCATTTTATATTGGTAGTGGACGACAATGACTAAGATGCAGCGCTGATTCCACCGATTATTCACGCTCGTTTACGACTGCATCCTGGTATACACATGCGGTTGCTAGAACAGAGAATGCACATGTCGACCATATGGTCACGCATGAAACAAGTTGGCGTACGCAAGAAATACAAGGTCACTACTCCCTGGAGAAATCAATGCGATACTCTACGACTTTAACAAATTTCTTTCTGGAATTATCACCTGGGGCTTCCATCCCGCTTGTCTCGTGTGCAAACTCTCTCTCTCTCTCTCTCTCTCTCTCTCTCTCTCTCTCTCTCTCTCTCAATCTACAAAATTAACTCTCCCCCTTGTAAAAAAAGTCTCATTGAGAAATGACGAACAACACTCGATGATAAAAATAACATCGAGATATGTTGAATAAATGACATGTGAATATTACTCTTACAAAAAAATTAATTAATTAAAAAATTAATTCGAACCGGTCTCGCTTTTATTTTCGTCACTTTTTACCTTCATTTTAGCGCTGTTAGCTATATCGTCGGTTTATAAAATCTCGTGAAATGATTTGCTAGATGTTTGCTAGGCACTTCAACGTTTTAATTCTCGTTTAATACGCGATTCACCAAGGAGAAGCGCATACCGACGCATCAGAGTCAAGACGATATCGAGCGATCGAACGACGCAATCCGACTTAGGCATCATCATCGGCAACAAAGAGTTTATGCTAATGCCGCGACGTGCCACGATTTTGCAATCACGGGACACGTGCATCTAGGATTCCATCTTCCATCCGCGAAATGTCATTCCTCGTCTCTCGAGATTATATTAATGTCGCAATGTTCTAACGAAATGCAAACGCCGTTCGTCAATCGACGTTCCTCTGCAGAAGCAAAACTAAAAGAAATTATTCGAGAGTTAGTTCAAACATTATATAACATCCTTTCGTAATCATATGATTTTATAAATTCACAATTTTAAGGAATAATTTGTGTAAGAAATGTATATCCGTCTTCTCGTTCAATAAAATTCATAAAATAATTTCTATCAAACGAGAGTAGATTGCCACGTGCGGCTATTTGAAGCGTGAGAATTTAGCTAGAAGAGATGACAAGCTGAAGAGAAAGAGAGGATCCATATTCGGGTCACTGATAAGGGAAGGATGTGAGTCGTTGAGATCACTAAAACGACAGGTTGAATAAATTATATCGACGTTTATGCGTTACGGGAGCAACGTGCTGAAAAGCTGTGGCACTGCTCTGGGAGAGATTGCCCGGCCGAGAGATATTTATATCCTGCCTGGTGTGTGTGTGTGTGTGTGTGTAGACACCATCACTATCTCGTATTTTGTATACGCCGACGTAAAGCTGACGGAGGTGCAGCAACCGCCCAAAGTTTTCGACACTACGATAAAAATATTTGTTATTTCGTGCGACATCTTTCCTCGTAATATAGCATCTACTCATAATTTTTTGCGCTTTTAGCATTATTTTTTTGGCGTAAAGCAAAGCTAAAATTTTGCTGAAATGGAGTAGCGTGACTTTTTATCGCGGGATACGTTTGAGACCACTTCTCTTCCGCTCGAGTTAAATCCAACTAGGCCTGAAGCAATGCTCAAGTTAACATACCATGAGCAAGCTCGAGAAGGCACGTGGGCACCTTTGAAAAACCACTCATTTCTCATTAGCGACATTTGCATCGTTTGAGGGGAAAAAAAGATGTCGACATGCAATCGTGGCTCCTACCGGGTTTTCACTTGTTTTTCTCACATAGTTTTGGTGAAATCTGTCAAACTGTTACTCAACTTTTGCGAGAGGATAAGGATTTCTCCAGTCTTCGATACCACATATCTTGGCTTTCAAAACATTTCCTGATTTCAAAACTTGTCAATTTTGTAAGAAACTTTTAGATTCTTAGATAATATTAATTTTATATATACATCTGAGACGAGGAATCTTTTATGTTATGAAATTTTCCTTAAAACTCGTATTCAAAAGCTGAAAAGCTCTTTGAAATATCCAACATATCATATATTTACGACAACCAAAAAAATCTATCTTTGATTTCTTATCCTATCGACGTGATAAAATTGATAGAATTCCTCAAATAATTTTTGATGCTCTCTCTATGTGATATTGTAACTGTGCAACGATCAATAAGCGGTCCCGATCTAATCTTGGCCGATAAAATCATTCCACTCGAAGCGACTCGAAATAACAGACTCCCTTTTATATAAGTCGTCCTCGTCGACTTAGCGGCTTGATCAATATTGCGCGCGGCAAGACAACGCCGAGAATCGATCCGTCGTCGTGCCGTCAACAATTAATGATCGGCTCGCGCTGCGAATCTCGGTTTAACGCGCCTCGAATTTCACGCTCTCGATATTGCGCCCGACATACCCGCCGAGTGAAAGCAGATGAATCTGTGATGGGGGATGTTTCGAAACACTGACAACAAAAATCGTGCAAATCATCGTTGCAGTTCAATGCAGCTTTCTCCCTCTTGGCTTTTTCACGAATTTTAAACTGAATATCGTGGAAATGAAATGTCGATGACTGTGAACCCCGCTGAAACAATAACGTTTAAAGAACCCTGAAGATATTCTCGTCGACCCTCGCCCCGAGCTAAATCAACGAACATCGGGATTGCAAATTGAAATGCGGCAATTTCTTCGATACTATTAGGTGTACAAAAAAGTTCTGAGCTTTTTTTTGTAAAATTCAATCTTTATTCAAAAACAAACAAAAAATATTAATCAGCGAAATATTCCCCGTTTGCATCAACGACCTTTTGCCATCTTTCGAGTAGCTTGGGAATTCCTTGACGATAGAAGCTCATCGACTTCGAAGCGATAGTCATCAATGCATTTTCGTATCTCTTCAAATCTCACGAAATGTATATCAGCCAAATGATGCTGCAGCGACCGGAATAGGTAGTAATCGAAAGGCGCCATGTCTGGGCTATACGCCGCGTGTGGGAGAAGTTCCTAAGCCTAACGCAAAGATATGGTCCTGAGTCGCTTTCGCAACATGTGGTCGAGCATTGTCATGAAGCAAGATCACTTTACGACGTCCTTGGCCAGTAAATGGCTTCTTTTCTTCTAATGCATCGCTCAAATTGGTCAATTGTTGTTCGCGGTCTGCCGTGATTGTTTCATCCGGTTGTAACAACTCGTAATACAACATACCTTTCCAATCCCACCAGATACAGAGCAAAACCTTTTTGGCGTGGATATTGAGCTTTGGCGTCAATGTCGAAGGTTGACCAGGGTCAACCCATGATTTTCTACGTTTAGGGTTATCATAAAGAATCCACTTTTCATCACCTGTAATGATTTTGTGCAGAAAATCTTTGTTCCGAAA